TCTCTGATGTTTCCTTTTGCTCGATTCCCTTCTTCTATCCGGTCTATTTTGTGATTCCGGGAAACCAGGCGGCAATATCATTGGATACTCCAATTTCCCAAGCACAACTCCACTTGCCCATCCGTCCTCATTGTCACTAACCGAACTTTCTGATAAACTCTCACTGCAAGTATCGCTCTCTTCCTCATCCGCGATATAAGAATGGTCCGAAGTATCAGAAATTGATGGAAACGAAGCTGCGTTAATTGTTGCTTGCTGTAAATATCCAGTAGGTGGTGAATGTGGTGTCGGAGGGTTTATCATATTCGGAAAAGGTAAAGAAGGATTCGGTAAAGTTTGACTCCCGCTTGAAAACCCGTTAGCCATTCCCATCATCATGGGCGAAACGAATTGTGAGAATTGGGCAAACATCGATTGCATTAACATTTGCTGTGATTTCGATAGCATTTCTTGGAACTGCGCTTGTTGTTTTCGGAGAAGTTCATCGTAATTTGGTAATATCAGTGGATTGGGAGATGAACTAGTAGGAACAGATGTCGACGCTTTGAGTTTATCTAGAAATGGAGTGTTTAAATTTCTAGGTTCGGGTTCGCGCCTTGTTCGAGATGATTCTTGTGGTCTCGGTAGAGTTTGCTGATAGTCTTTCATCTCTACGTCGCCATCACCCTCTGAATCTGAACAATGAGAACGGTCGCCGATAGTCGTTGGACATATCACCGAATGCAACGCAGATTTTGCGGTTTTTGCTGATTTTGCCGATTTCGCGGATCTAATATCCCAGAATTTATCATCAAACATTTTTTTCTGGTTTCCAAGATCCTCACTGGGTATATTGGATCGTGAGGATACTTCCGTGCTTGAATCTTCTTCAGCAATTCGAACGTTAGTTTTCTTCTTCTTCGCTTTTTGGCTCGTGTATGTTCCCGCTTTTGAAGAATTCCTTGTAACTCTTTTCTTTGTCGAGCTTGGATTTCCTGCAATCTTCTCAACTTCTTTCACAACTTTTTTTGGTCGACCAGCTTTCCCCTTTGGCTTTGCAGGTTGTGGAATCTCCGAAGTCTCCTCAACACCCACGAGCTCTGCTTGATCGGTTTCTTTCCCATGCGCTTTATCCAAAATAACAATTTTACTCCATTTCAACCGATATTGCTGCGAAGCCCATAGTTCAATCACGCTCGTCGTTACGTCAGATTTGTAAAATACTCGCTGTTCCGGATCATCTTCTCCCCATTCTACGTCGTATGTAAACTCCAAGTTTCCGTAAGGTTCTTCGACTGTATTTGAAACTTTCTCCTTCCCCTTAATACTCGACTTTGGTTTTTTGGGTGTCGATTTTTTCAAAGTCGATTTTTTGGGAGTGGGTTGGGTTGTTGGTGGTTGTTCGACTTCTTGTTGTTCTTCGATTGTGTCGATTGGAAACGCGTATGGGTCTGCGGGAGGTTCGGGTTGAGTGGCAGGTTGTTGTGAGGAAGATTGCGGATCCTGAGTTTGAATTGTCAGTTGTGGGTCAACGGCCGGGTCAACCTGGGTCTCCATTGGTTTCGGTGTTGCATCTGTTTCGACGGATGGTTCCGGATGAGGGAGAGGCTGTTTTGTTAAAGAGGATTGAGGATCTTGAGTTTCTTCAACCAACTCTTGCGGTTGAACTTGAAGTTCATTTGTTGGCGGGGTTTGCATCGGGTTCTCAACAGCATCGGTTTGATTAAGATTAAGATTTCGAGCAATTTCCTGGTCCGTTGGTTGCACCTCTAGAAACACATGTCTTAATTTCATATAAACATAAACTTTGAATTCAATGGTGTAAACCTTCTGGAATCTCCAAATTCTCTAAAACCGTTTCAATAATATTTACTCCATCTTGAAGTTTCTTTTTTATTTGCCTCGATTTCACCTTCGATCCAGATTTTTTTGATACCCCCTTAGTCGATATTTTTAGAATAACTGGCTCACGAGGCGATCTTCCCCTCCCTTTCTTGCCAATCTTCTCAACTATCTTCATCTGGCCTTCGTTTCCAGTGGCATTGGTTTCGACTGCTGCAGAGTTTGCTTGCTGTAATTCGTGTGTGGCATATACTAAAGTTGCCTCCGATTCGCGACGAGGGATATCTTTGTCTTTTTCGAGTGCACCGGCGTCCTGGAACGTTTCCATGGCGATAATTTGGGTTTCAAGATTATTGTTCTCTGTTGGAGTCACTTCTGGTTGTCCCGGTTGCGCAGACGAAGTCGCAGCAATAATATTCTGATTCGGTAGTTCCATCTCGTTGGCCCACTCGTTCGGTTGGTCAACCCGTTTATCATAAACAGGTGTAGGTAGTTTTTTACTTCGTCTATCCTTCGATTTTGGTTTCGGTGGCGATTTCAAAATGATAGTCTGTATATATTCAGTGCCATGTCTCGACCTTGCACGAGCACTTCTTTGCGTATTGGAAATTTTCGTCAAGCCGAACTCCCCGTCGATGGTTAAATCGCCTAGCCGCTTCCTTACTTTTGGAGTTTTTTCAGGGCTTTGCGAAGTGGCCGGAGTTGGATTAGCTTCAATCTGATCGTTTGAATTAATCGTCATCATAGGTTCTTCTGCAACATTATCATCCACTTGAGGTACAATATTGGGGGCAAGATTATCTCTTGCGACAGATTCTTGTTCGATTGCGACTTGATTCTTTGTGGATGAAGAGGCAACTAAATTGATCGCCGAGTCTACATTTTTTCCGGCCACAGATTCAGGCGCAGATTTCTCGGCTGATCCTGGCAGTTGGACAGAGAATACCTCACTCTCCCGACAATCTTCCAAGTTTTGGTTTTGTTCGCTCATCCGGTCAGAGTCGGCGTAGATTCGATTGACGTCGAAGATTTGTTCAAAAACTTCGTTTGCTTCTGGAGTTGTATTTTCGTACGGATCTGTTTCCTCCATCTCGATCGCTAAAAATTTATTTTCAATGTTTGAATGTTGGAATGTTGGAAACAGTGAGCATACTACTTCTCTTAACTGTCTTCCACACCGAAGCATCTTCAATCTCTTCATTCGCCAAACCAGAATTCTGCGTATTCGTCTCCTCACCAACGCCTTCCTCTTGTTCGCCAGCATTCTCTTTCGCACTTGCAGCAGGTTGCGAGTTTATGCGATTACGCAGTAAATTATTAAAATCGGTTCGTTCGGTTACGGGAGACGTTGACGAATTCAATAAATAAGAAGTCGGAGGAGGCTCAGTTGGCTGCGAAGATTCCCGAACTCCAACTTGGGGGGCCGTGGAAATGTTTGCTAGCTCCATTAGAGCGGCGGCCGCAGATGCGGCTGTATCTAGAAGTAAGAGGGTTAAAACGAGCTCGATGAGAAAAATTTCTTTGTTATATTTACCTTCTCCTTCCTGTTGACTCGTATCGTCCGGGTTTACAGAGTTCTCTGGAAATGAATTGAATAGAACTTACATTTTAATTTTATTAAGAAAAAGTTTACCTCTCATAATCTGCTTTAACAGCGGAAACTTCCTTGGTCTCCCTCTTCCCCGTCCAGTACCGGTTTTTTTTGGCTCTTTTGCAACCACTAGTCCTTTATCTTTCCGAACGTATTTTCGCTTTGGTTTTTTAATTGGAGTCGCCAGATCAACAGTATCCACAGGGGTAGGAACGTCGACAGTTGGTATCGGCATCATAATTTGCGGCGGAATAGCAACTTTCACTCGCATCGGATCAGCCAAATGTCGGGCGTAAACTAACCCCGGAGGATAAAACGGGCTCCGTGGACCCAGATCAGGAACTAAATTTGCTGGAATCAGCCGAATGTTGTTTTTTGCAGCTTGATAAAACGGATGTTCCCAACTAAGCAGTGGAGGTGGTGGAATCCCTGAAAAGGTAGCCGGGTTGCTGTTTGGTGAATCGAAGTTTTGAATGAGGTATTGCGGGATAACCAACGGAGTTTGATTCAGAGTCGATTTGTGGATTTTGCGTGCAGATGATAAACTGGGTGTAGTTGCATAACTTTTAAACGGATTAATCTCGGATGGTGATGAACTCGAAATCGCGGGGGTTTGAACTGGTGCATCTTTCTGCTGCTGCTGCATCTGTCGCTTTAGATTGAACACCAGTTGTCGTTTCGTCAACTCCATGCGTCGCTGCTCGAGGGATTTTTGTTGCATTCGGACTTTGGTTTCTTCTTCGCGTTGTTTTAACAAGGCTGCTTTCAGTTTGCATCGCTCTAGAATATCAGAGAAATCTTCGGTCATGAGTGCTCCGGATGATGATGCTGCTGCGACGCCGGAATTTACATTCACGTTTAATGAGGCTGAGTTTTCAGCATTGGAAGTCGCGGCGTTTGTTGTAGGAGGTGGTGTAATATTGGTTGGAATATGTTGAGGAGGGGAGTTTATTAATTCTAGATCCTCTAGCGCTTCATAAAAGAAATCTTCGGGATTTTCGCTTTCCAAAAAGTCGTCTGAATTCATCGGAAGCGCATTCGATGGAGGAGGTGATTCGCTAATAGAATCGATGAAAGGGTTGGGAGGATCTTGCATAGATAAGGTAATTGTTTAAACTTTGAATCACGCCAATTAGAATACGTTCTGAGGTGTTTCTAGAAATGCAAAAAACGAAAGAAAAATAGAAAACGCGCGTTATTCACGTGGAGGATAACAGATGACAGCTTTTTTTTTTACCTTTTGTAAAAAAAATGAAAATCATGATTACAATCATTTCATATTAACGTTTCTTATTCAAAGCACAAAATAATTATAATTAAGTTAATTGATTTGTTTGATCTACATAAAGCGCTGACAATTGGAACAAAAAAAAGTTTGTTCAAGAATCAATAATTGGGAGCTTGTACCTATCAAACTTTTATCATAGATTGCAAATACATCCCGGGATGCTCTATCGCAATACAATAAGAATCTTGGTTCGTTTAGTGATGATGCAAATAATCAGATTGAAAATGAAAAATTCATTTTTGCAATCTCACATCCTACTTTAATTTAGAATAATATATAGTGGTGATAAACCTTTGGCATGGCCTTGTAGCTCAGTTGGATAGAGCGTCGCACTTCTAATGCGAAAGTCCTGGGTTCGAGCCCCAGCTAGGCCTTTTATAATTTTAGATATCAATTTTTTTGTATACTTTTCAAACTTGCGAATAAATTTGGGTGACATGCAAAAATTTTGGAAATATTTGCTTTTTGGCGGTCTTGTTTTGTTGAAACTGCTGGAGTCTGTGAACAACTTCGACATTCACTTCGTGTCACAAAAACGCCCATATTTTCTTTATCAAAACACAATGGATTCTTCTGCTGAACGAGACGTGCTTCCTTCTTCCGTTACTCCTTCCCACTACTCTCTAATTATTCACCCCACTCTCTCTGCTCCTCATAAATATACTGGAACCGTTGATATTAGGTAGGCAAAAAATCAGATCATTAGTAACATGTTTCTCGCTCCTTTCCGCGAAAAAACCCGGTGAAACTTATTCAAGTTCAAGCAATTCTAATTTATTATTCTAGTCTTATTTTTTTCGAAACCGTCAGTGAAATATCTTTAAATGCGTTGGAATTGGAAATCCCAAACAATCCCGTTTTGAAAGTTACTCATCTGAAGGCCGAGTCGAGGTAATCTATTCTCTTTACTTGAAGTATTTTATTCATAATTATTTTTGTTGTAATCTAGTCAAACGGCCTCTAGAGTGACGTTCAACGAAGAAAAACAAACTTCAACATTCACATTCCCCAATTCTATTCCTTCAGGCGCGACTGGTGTTTTGTCGATTGAGTTTTCCGGAACTCACAATGATAAAATGGCTGGATTTTATCGATCTTCCACCGCAGCTGCAGAAGAAGATAAGAAGTGGATGGTGGTGACGCAATTTGAAGCTACAGATGCCCGTCGTGCTTTCCCATGCTGGGGTATAATCGTGAATATTATTCCTCATCATTTATTACTCACTCGATTTGTAAACTAGATGAACCAAACAAGAAGGCGACATTTGACGTCACTTTGATTGTGGAAAACAAAAACATTACCGCACTTTCAAACATGAATGTTGTCGAAGAAACCGTTATCGCAGATGGAAAAAAGAAAGTCGTTTATGCAACTACTCCCGTCATGTCGACGTATCTTTTGGCTTTCGCAGTTGGTTACTTTGATTACGTCGAAGGCGTCTCAAAACCAAAACTTCCTGCGGACGCGAAACCCATTGCTGTTCGAGTTTACACTCCGCCAGGAAAGAGCGATAAAGGAAAGTTTGCGCTTGATGTATCAATCAAGACTTTGGAGTACTTTTCAGAGTACTTTGATATCGCTTATCCCCTTCCAAAGTGCGATCACATTGCTATTCCCGATTTTTCGGCAGGAGCTATGGAAAACTGGGGATTAAGTATGTTCAGCAAAGACGGTATTATTCTGGAAAGACTTCTAACGTTTTATTTTCAGTCACATATCGGGACAGTGCGCTGTTGTATGATGAAGGAACTTCTTCTGCTGACCACAAAGAACGTGTTGCCTACGTTGTTGGTCACGAACTCGCGCATCAATGGTTTGGAAACCTCGTAACCATGGATTGGTGGAACGATTTATGGTTGAACGAAGGATTTGCTACGTTTGTTGGAATTCTTGTAACGGACCATTTATTCCCGTCGTGGGATCTTTGGACCAAATTCGTAACAAAGGAATTAGCGGGTGGTATGGGATTGGACTCGATGCGATCTAGCCATCCAATTCAGGTGGCCGTGAGAGATGGTACTCAAATTACACAGATTTTCGATGCGATTTCGTATTTGAAAGGTGCTTCTGTTATTCGAATGCTTTGCGCTTTCTTGAGCCGAGAAAAATTCATGGAGGGAGTTAGAATTTGTGAGTACCCTTAATTCTTATTATGTTTTTTTTTTTCCATTTTTATTTATTTTTCCCGTTTTTTTTTCGTTTTTTTTTTCAGATCTTAAACGACACAAGTATGGAAACACGCAAACGATGGATTTGTGGACAGCGCTTACCGAAGCTTCAGGTGTTGATGTTGCAGCCTTGTTGAATGCCTGGACAAACGATGTCGGTTTCCCACTCGTTTCCATCACTTCTCAATCCTACGACGCTGCATCCTCTCAATTGACTCTTCACTTGTCTCAAAAGAGATTCCTTGTTACTGGAGATTTAACTCCTGAAGAGGAAGCGGCATCGCCAAACTGGTACATCCCACTTCGAATCGTCAGTCACGTCAACCCAAAAACCCCAACCAACGACGTTTTAAACACTAAAACTGGAAAAGTTACGATTCCATACGGCGATGTAAAAGGAAGTGATGGAAAGAACGTTCCAAAGTGGTTTAAATTGAATTTCAGCACCACGGGAATTTTCAGAGTCGATTTAGGATCGGATGGGTTAAGAAGTTTGGGTGAGGTTTTGAAGAAAGATGTAACCGTTATTGGAACAGAGGATCGTGCTGGTGTTGTTACCGATGCATTCTTTTTGGCCAGAGCAGGATACGCAAAGTAAGTTTTACCATCAAAGTACTTTCTGTCCAGTATTCAGTTTAATTGCTTATGTAGGACTTCTCACTGGCTTAAACTTCTTCAAAACTTGGCAAACGAGCATGACTACATTGTCCTCGACGATATCAACACGCGATTAACCGCGCTTCGTCTTGCTTGGTACAAAGAAGAAGAATATATCTTAAAATCATTCGATTCTGTCCGATTAAGCATATTCTCGCCGAAAATTGCAGACCTTGGATGGGACTTTTTACCAAATGAGACGTATTCCAAACAACAACTTCGTAAATTGGTTTGTGATGCTACAGCGGCTGGAGGTGATCCGAAGGCGGTTAGCGAGTGTATTGCAAGATTTGAAAAGTATGTGAAGGGGGATATAGCTGCGATTCACCCGGATATCCGAAAGACTGTGTTTGAAACTGCGTTGACTCATTCAAAAGACCAGGAAGCGACGTTTAATGAATTGTTGAAAATTTACAAATCTGCAGATTCGGTTAATTTGAAGATTAATGCGTTGACGAGTATGGGAGCCACGAGTGACATGAAGTTGGTTGAAAAGTATTTAGGATTCGTATTGGATGGGGAAACTGTTCGTGCACAGGATTCTGCGTATGTTGTTGCGGCCTTGGCGAGAAGCACACCGATTCCGGGAATTGTAAGACCTTTCATGTGGAAATGGGTGCAAGAAAACTGGGAAAAGTTGTATGAGATGTTGGCGGATTCGATGGCGTTGTTGGGTAGCGTGTTTGCGAGTTGCGTTAGTGAAAATGTCGGAGAAGAGTTTGCGAAGGAAGTCGAGGCGTGGTTGGAAGGAGCTGGGTTGGGAGAAGAAGAGAAGAAGAAGAGATCAAAACAGGTGGAAGTTGTGAAACGACCGGCTGCGCAGGCTGTGGAGAAAGTGAGAAGTTCTGGGTTGTGGTTTGCGAGAGATCGCGAGGCCGTGAAGGATTGGGTTCAGTCTGCAGGTTTCATTGTCAAGATGGTTTGAAGTTAATGCGGAGACCTGAATCCAACAATTTTGTTTTTGAATTTTTATAATCTCATTGTATCAATATTTCTTGTAACCAAAGATTCAATCCCACACAATCGTTTGCGTGGAAATTTATTCGGCGTTAATACTATAGCACAAATCTTTCAAAATCAGTATATTCAAAAAGTATCATCGAAACAACACCACGATGGAACCATTACAAACTCCAAACGAATATGTCAGTCTATCTTCCATGTGATCTCTTAACCGTTTGATTAAAGCTCGCAATTGCACACAAGTCAATTCATCCAGAATCACCTTATTGAAACGAAATTATCGTTTCATCCAGCATCTTCGTATTTCCATAAAATATTTAGACAGGATCGAACTATTATCCCCTGAGTGTTGTTTTACACAGGCGATCCATTTAGTTCGAGATTCAATTACCGAAACACACAGAATCTCCTGGTCTCTGTCGTCGCAAAACGTTAAACCGCTAAAGTCGCGAGTTCGAGGATTTCCCAATCGCAGATAGAAACGGACGCAGTTGTAATTCGTCCAAAGGGTAATCCGACTGAGTGACCGTGAAAGATTCAATACTCGAGTTATGAACCAAAATATCTTGGAGATCCTCAACGAAGCTAGAGTAAAACGTCATTCCAAATCTCACTACCTGCAACCGTTTGCTTAACCGAATCGCGCCCAGTAATTGTTTGGTCGGATCTTTAAATAGGTCACTGTAATAAAGAACACATCCAGCTCACGTATTGATTTAGAAAATTCAACCAAATCTGAAAGAGCATGTAGAGTTACCACATAACAATGTTCGAAGAGAAGTAGATGCCACCATTTGTGAGACGATCAGTTTACTGAGGTTGCCAGTAATGAGTGTAAGAGATTCCAGTCCTCTAGTTTCGAATACAGCAGGCAAATTTACTTTGTCAATGTCCTCCACACAACCTTCAAGAATCATTTCTTTGGGAAGATGTGATTGTCAATTAAAAACATTGAGACAAAAGCAGACACCGAATCGAATGAAAACTCCACGAATGACAACGACGTGGATTTTTTTTATAGATTTAACCATATCACTCGTGACGTCGAATTCGTAAAGTTTCAGTGTCTCAAGCGATGATTTTTCAATCAAAGTGCAAAAAGATCCGATGGAAGAGGCCAGAAACTCTTTACTCCTCGTCCAGATCAATTCTTTAAGTTTATCCGGAGAACACAATGCGTCAAAGATTAGTTCTTCCGGCGTTGAAGCAGCGATTCTCATTCGAAAAGAAACCAGGTTTTCAACATAATAATTCCACGAGAGAATTCTTCAAACTCCTTGCTAATCTTCTGTTTCGCATCCAAAAAACTGCTTCTTCCAATCGTATCCAAAGCTAATAGCAATACTATCAAGGAAAACTTTTGTATTTTTGTTGGGTTCGCACGAAGTTCGTTGAAAACGAGAGTCGCTGTTTGCCTGTCGGTTCTCTGTGCTTGGGCCAGAAAATAAGACTTTAGATTTTAAGGAAGTGTAACGCATTATCACACGATAAAGGATGTACACTTTGTAATTATCGCCCGTATTTAATTGGCAAAAACGAGGAAAACGAGCAGAATTTAAAAAGTGTTTTTCTTTAGGCGTTTTTT